TTTGACAGAGAAGGTACCCCTTTCATATACCTTCCATGGAAAATGGTACCCCTTTCATATAACCTTCCATAGACATTAGGAAAAAAATGGGTACCCCTTTAACATACCTACAGTAGAAAACACTGCATCCCTTTTCTATACCCTTGGAATGAACTTAATGGAACAATATATATCCCCAGAAGGAAGTGGAAAGAAGCTGTCTTACGATGGCTAAAGAACGTCAAACCTGCAGTCCACCTCCATACCTAAATGACAGTTAAAATTCCCTACCCTTCTTCTATACCTCCAACTCGTGAAATCCCTACCCTTTTATATACCTCTGAAAAGGTACCCCTTTCGGGCGGAGCGCTCCCCCGTATAGTCCATTATAGGGAGTACCGGGCTCCCCCTGGGGCTCTGGCAGTGTGGGCCAGTTTGGCCTGTGTTGCGGCTCCTCCTGAAAACATTATTTTGCAATTTTCTCTATTTGCGTTCTTGATTGTAAACTGTTCAAAGAGAGCCAAATCGTCGGTTGCCAAGCTAAGGCCGCCATGTTTTCTTTCGTCAGCAGAATTCCATGATGGATATTTCATTGTAAGTTCAGTCATCTTTGTCACAATCATTTGGGAGTGAAATAATTGCAAAATTGTCTGCCTTCCGTTTTTTGTTTTTATTTATGGGTATGTTCCGGTCTTAAAGATGATTTCCAGTCCGTACTGCACAATCTCCGCCCTGCAATGTTTATGAGACTCATACAAAGGAATGTAAATACTAGCCAAAATAAAAATTCCGGGACAAACTTACATTTTTCTTCATAAATTAACGCTAGCTACTGTATTTACCTACAGATAGACTGCACTTTTATGACGAAAAAATACGGCCAAAGTTAGGGGTGCGGCTTATACGCGAGTACAAGCCTTTGGAGGTAAATTAATGTGCATGATTTTCAAAGGATGAACCAATGCTGCTACTGTTTGTTTGAAATTTTAATAACACATACATACTATACATCAGTACACCAGGAAGACTCAGTCCAAAGTAAATCGCAGATTTGTGGCTTCCATTTGCTCTTTTGATATCCATGCATTTCACTCTCCATTTCATGAGTAGAAGTATCTCTTGCCATTTTTGTTCTTCTCTAGTTTCGTACAGGAACAAACTTATCAACGGCAATGAAGGCATGATTTTTTGTGGTAAAAAAAAAACACGACCGTGTCAAATGCTCCGATGTAGACCAATTCCCAATCCTGGGATCACAAATGTGTGCCCTGGGGATGTCCTAGAATTACCAGATGCATAATTTATTACCCTAAAATACTGATAGTAAAGCCTGGGCGTATATTTGTCCAAAAATCCTTTTTGGATGTTTTTTTTTTTCGGGTGGGCTTATTATCGGATTAAATGTTTGGGCTTTTGTTCCTGAAATTTACATGGTGGGATTATTATTGGAAGGTTTTTTGCATTGAGATTTCATTTTGTTGGCCTGTGTTTTTTGTTTTGGTGTGTGTGTGTGTGTGTGGGGGGGGGGGGGGGGGGGGGGGTAGATGGGGGGGGGGGTGTGGAGTTTATTATGGGAATTCCATGGTGTTTTTTATGTTTATTCTAAATTGCATTTTGCATTTCTTAGAGTTCTTTATTTTCCTTTCATTCAGGAGCTCATGTATGTTTGATTTATTCTTATTTTCTCTCTTTATTTTCCTTGATGTTTTATATTCACCATTTCATGTTGTCTTCTATGTTATTTTTTTTGTAATATATGTATTATTATTATTATATATGATTTGCAGTCCATACTGTGCAATCTCTGCCCTGCAATGTTTGTGAGCCTCGCACAAATCAGAACTTTTTTTTCTGGTCAAAATAAAAATTCCGGTACAATCTTAACTTTTGCTTCATTATTAATGCCAGATATCCTTGCCAAGCAATAATAACGAGTAGAAGAACCTCCATTTGTTTCCCAAACCGATGTCTTAAACTCATCGGGCATTCCTAAACGCAAACGGTCGTATAAATGGCTGACTCAAAAAATTACAATTTACTCAATGTTTTCTATTACTGAAATGTAACATATCAACAAATCCAAAAACAAAAATGCGCAGTACAGACTGTAAATCGTTAATAAATCATATAATAAAATTTTATTGCAATAATAATATAAATTATATTTACTATATCTGTCTTGATTTGACAAAACGTACCTAAAGAAATTGACCATTTTTTACCACACCTGACTAGTTTATCGCCCATTGTTTTTTCTTAAATTCGTTTCAGTCTTGTTTGTAAGTGGCCAATTATTTGAGCTTGCTGAAGCTTGAAATGATCTAGTTGATGGACAAGTAATTTCCTTCTGACCCCTTCCCTCCACAAACCAGCAATTCACCATTAGTGTGTTTTCGTTAACTCGGCCCCATGATTCTCTGCCTAAGATACATCAACCACACTACTTCAAAGTGAGGCTGATGAAGCTTTCTTTGAGGGATTCTGTGTCTCTGCAAAGAGTGCTCCAAAACATTGGTATATCAGGCTTTCACCTACCCTACCCACGCCCTGATCAATGTTGAATCCCGTGTATTGGCAACTTGGAAACATTCATAGTCAATAAAATTGATGTCGTACAAAGGGTTCAACATTGCATTTAAGGGGGAGGAAGTCACGGGGGTGCGTGATATTTCGTACACTATTTAATTAGTAACATAATAGTAAACAACGGCAGAGAATGTAAAGTGGAATTAGTGACTTGGATACAGTGAAATAAATGAAGAAGTGTTCTCAAGTCGAAATACTCATAAAAAACTTCTGAGCTCCCCAACGGGAATCGAACCCATGACTTTCCAGGTGCCGGTTGGACGCTCTAACCGCTGAGGCAAGGCCATACAACTAGGCTCAAATATGTCAAAGTGAATATACGAATAAATTTTAAGTGGAATGAGTGACTTGGATAAAGTGAAATAAAGGAAGGAGTGTTCTCAAACCACACTGGAATAAACGGCAGAGAATCTTAAAGTCATTGTGAAAGCAGCAGTAGCGGCCGAGTACTATTTTGTGTTGAACCACGAGCTGTGGTCGATCATTATACTCTGTTCGAGCAAATACTTAATGAAATCCCTTCTAAGTGTCAAAATGTTCTTTAGGTACATTTTATTAAATTAAGACATATATTGCGATGTTTATAACTTGTTATTTCAGGAGTGCTTCCCATATATACCATGGCAAAAACATAACAAATCTCACGTCAGAGAAAAGTACTTCAATTGCCAAGCCTGTGGCAAGTGTTTTGGTGCAGTGGGAAATTTGCGGATACATGAAAGATCCCACACTGGAGAAAAGCCTTATCAATGCAAAACCTGTGACAAGTGTTTTAGCCTAGCAGGAAATTTGCAGATACATGAAAGATCACACACTGGAGTAAAACCTTACCAATGCAAAACCTGTGGGACAAGTGTTTTAGCACAGCAGGAAATTTGCAGGTACATCAAAGATTGCACACTGGAGAGAAAACCGTACCAATGCAAAACCTGTGACAAGTGTTTTAGCAGAGCAGAGAGCTTGCGGGTACATGAAAAGATTGCACACTGGAGAAAAACCTTATCAATGCAAAACATGTCACAAGTGTTTTAGAGAAGCAGGAAATTTGCAGAGACATAAAAGAACCCACACTGGAGAAAAGCCTTTTAAATGCAACACATGTGACAAGTGTTTTAGCCTAGCAGATGCTTTGCGGAGACATGAAATGAAAGACTACACACTGGAGTAAAACCTTACCAATGCAAAACCTGTGACAAGTATTTTAGAGAAGCAGGAAGTTTACGGAGACATGACAGATTGCATACTGGAGAAAAACCTTACCAATGCAAAACCTGTGACAAGTGTTTTAACCAAGCAGGAAGTTTGCGGGTACATAAAAGAACCCATACTGGAGTAAAACCTTACCAATGCAAAACCTGCGACAAGTGTTTTAGCCACAGTAGGAAATTTGCGAAGACATGAAAGATTGGCACACTGGCATAAAGCCTTATCAATGCAAGGTGTGTTGCAATAGGTATGCTTACTTAGGAAGTCTTAAGTTACATAGCAAAACACACTGTAGCACTCTGTTGATCAAGAGCAGTGATAATGAGAATTATATCTCTGGACCAGCAGGCCATGTTAACACAGTGACGTGCTGGATTTGCCTTGATGAACTTAGCAGTGAGGTCCTGCTTATTGAACACTATGACGATCATATGAAATAGGAACTGTTTCAAGTGAATAAGCCATTAGTTAATTTTGTTCATCAGTTGTTTTGGTTATGTTAAAGGTTTTTTGATAAGCAAACTAGAATTGGACAAGTATGAAGACAGTTTCGATTTTTAATAAAGAGACCGCTATTTCCCATGATTTACAGAGGTAAACAGATTTTTTAAAATGTTCAATTAGTTAATCCTAGTAAAAAATGAAAACAGTTTTATATTATATAGTTTTGTTTCATGCTAGACATGTAAGTACAAAACTTAGTTTACGCCTATCATTGGACGCTTTCCCCCCTTAGATTTGCGTTATAGGTAATAGGTTTTGTCCAAAAAAGAACAGTATTGGTGGTTTTCATCAACATTACAAAAAACTGTTTGCTTGCATGAACAACATCAGAAAATTAAACAGGTAAAAGAACTGTCAGAAAGAAACGTTTTGTCCAAATTATAGCTTTGTAGCGTTTTTCATAAACATTGCCAAACTAATTTCCAGAAAATTACAGTATTTAGTATGCCGCCGCCATGTTTGTGCCCTTCACTCCCTCAGAGGGGCACAGATATGGCCGCCATAAAAAAAAAAAATTTGTTGCACAAGAAGTAGAGTAGATTCTTACGGTCAATATCATTTGCTTTCACTTCAAATCTGTTTAGACATCACTCTCTAAGTTCTTATCACGTCTGAAAATTTAAAAATGATATAAAAAATATCCGTTTTTGTGACAGTTCAGAAACACGTTTCATCCGGGGACATCACAAATTTCAAATAGCTTTATTTCCAAAAGGAATCACTGGATCGATACCGAAACTTTGCATTAGAGATTAATGATTTCCATGCCTAGAAGATGTAAAAAGAAGAGCTTTGTAGGATTAACAGTTTTACATTTTAGAATTTGATGACGTCAGATAAAAACAAAGGATAGATTTGTTACCAAGACTGCGGAAAACCTAGCGTGACAGTGTGACGGCTGTCGTGCCAAAAACTTGAACTTGAGGCTTGCGAGTTTTATTTGTTTCGTTTCTATTTGAACTGAACAGTGATTCTGTAGATTGATTTGTTTCATTTTGAGAGTATTGTGTTGTGTTTAAGAAAAACTGCCTAGTTTTATACAGAAGAAACCCCGCTAACTCGAACTCGGTTAACTCGAAACTCCTCGCTATCTCGAACTACTGTAGAACGCTAACTCGAACTCGGTTAACTCTTAATACGCCAAATATAACATTGAGTTTACCTGGATCAAAGCTTTTTCGGTACACGTGCGAGTCAGTTGAGTTATGTAATCAGAAGGGATCGAAGAATATAATTTTGTGTTCAAACTATAAACTGCGAGTCTTCAGTGTGTCAGGGACAGGGCCTACTAGGATATTCTGCTCAAGACAACGGATGGGAAAAAGCTGTATTCGACAATTCTGCTGTATAATAGCACTGACATAGCCGAAGTAACAACAATAATGGCAGCGTGCAGTGCTTGGGTGGTAATTCCGCCAAAGGTGAGAAAACTGGCTGGAGGAGTTAGTGAAAGACCGACTACTCGCAGTCTATTTGCCATTAAACACAACAGCCATTGGACTCATTAATGTTAGTGAATGGGTAGTTTAACCTCCCTGGTTTGAAACATGTGAGTATTACAAACTGAGCTCAGTTTTTAACACAGAACTGCTCTCTGAGGTAATCACGGATTACAAGACATGTTTGGGTGCCCTGTGGACAGCCATACTTCCCTCAGTGCCGAATTGCTCAAACTTTTGCGCGGGAAATTGGCGCGCGGGCCATTCTCGTTCCCAGAGCCTTCGCGTTTTTTTGACTGCGCAAGACGCGAAGGCTCTGGGCAACTCTACGCAAGCGTAGCCAAAATCTGGCTATGTTGACTTGACAGCGCATGCTCTACAATCCAAATCCAAAATGGCGGCTCTATTGTTGTTGTGGCGTGTCTCAAGGGGTATGCACGAGAGCACGCAAGAATGCTTAGGTTAATTAATTCAAATGAGCGTCGAATGCATGCTATAGTTGTCCATGAAGGACACTCGTACGTCCGTCGTTTATCATTAGCAATTTTATTGTGAAACTAAGGGGTGAGTCCGCTTTCATTTTGCTGTCCGTTGTAAAGACTGATTCTAGGACTGACTGTAATTATATTTTCTGCAGTGATTTGACGAAAACTCAATTGTAAGCCGTCAAGTGGGCGCATTCGGAAACCGTCCAAATCCCGATAAATAAATCAATTGCTTTTTCGCAGTTCATCCAAACAATTATATGCGGTCATATAGGTTGGATAGATCAGAATTGCAGCAACGGCAAATGTTTACGTTCGTATTACACGGTTTTAAGGGTTTCACTTATGGTTGTGTAGTTCTCGAAACTTTTCTTTTCCGCGCCATTCTCGAATAATCTCGATCCCAGCCGCAGGGTCTGATCTCGCGCCCTAAGTTCAATTTTACGCGCGTAGCAGATTGACCAATCGGAAGCGTTTTTATTGTTTCAACCGAACGCCAATCACAACAGGTTCTCTCACAGGGTTCCCCAGAGCTCTTCTCGCCGTCAGTCACGTACAAAAGAGAAGAGCTCAGGGATCGAGAATGCGCGCGGCGACCAGTATTTACGCCTTTGCGCATGCTCAAGCGTTTGACTGCGGTGAACATGTCGTGTGACACTAAGGCCATCCCCATAAAATGTTTTGTTTCCTATCGCCCTCTCTCTCGTGAAGGTTGTCAAACACGTCACGCTATTGTGCTACTGTATTAGTAATAAAATCGCAATAACCTGTAGAAAGCATTCATTTTCTAACAGGGTACAATTAGCAGATAATCGTGACAAATGAAAATATACAGTGCACAGATAACCAGTGTCCGTAAAGCGAGGTTAACTTTGTATGAAAGCGGGTCACAGAAAAGTGTCCGTTGTCCGTATTAACCGGTGTCTGTACTAAGCGGGTTATGTAAGAAAACTATATGATCTTTTCGTCGGGACAAACAAAACTGTCCGTAATAAGTGTGTATGTCCGTAAAGCGGGTTCCACTGTATGTGTCACCTGCAGTTTACATATATTATTTTTTCATATATAAATTAGTAACTTTCATCAAGCATCTTTTTTTGCGTTTTTTTTTTCAGGGTCCGCTAAAATAGTTCCTACGAAAAAATATACCCGCAATTTCCGAAATTTGAAAAAGTGCCGCGTTCTTGTCGTTGCTTCGACCATTATCAGAGCAATGAACCATTGTAAAGCTATAAATAAATGATTAAACTATTTTAAAAGAGTACGTTACTTGTATTTAGATTACAGGAATAAAAAAGCAAGCAATATTATGTTGTATTACGGACATGTTGTAATTCCAATTTTAAGGTATGAAGCCACTGGCTGAAAACCCGCAGTCTGCCAACATGTGCCAATTGTAAAAACTAGTTCCCGTGAAACACAAAATATCACCAATCCGCATAATTAAACTCCCGCATAAATTTAGCGCCACCAGGAGCCAGGCGCCACACGATATTAAAAACAGACTGTGACACATTTGCAGCCTTGTACCCAGACCCCAGGCGTTCCTTTCCCGCTTACTCGATTTGGGATTTGGAGCAAAATTTCATGACGTCACGCAAACCCGTTACCAGGTCCTCACGTGTACTTCACGCTCGCTCGAGAGAGAAA